ATGAACATTCTTTCAGAAATAATCGATAATCTATCATTTTTAAGAAACAACTTTGACACATATTTATGGGAGAGACATCTCGAAAAGTCAAATTAGATATGTGAATCATTTCAGGAACAACGACCAGTGGGGGAGGTACGTGAAGGAGTGAGCCGATAAATTCCATATTTACATCAGATCTTTGGTTTAAAGAAATGTATAGATACACCAACTTTGAAAATAATAATAAACTTGTTTCTTAAGTCACGAAAGATGTAATTATTCAAAATATTGAACCTTTGTGAGAAAGGTATCACAAGGAGCAACCCGATGTATTCGATTCTCACACCAGAACTTCTCTTAGTATAAATATTGGGATGAGACAATCGGACAATCAGACTCTTATTTCATATTTTATAAGAGCTATAATTATTCCAAATGTTGTTATCTGGAGGAGGTACTTTACGCACCAGACCTAACACTGACAAAATTATTGGGATTTGCAGACAATATTTCTATTATAAATTATTTTCTATGAAAATGTTGAACTTTTTTTGGCGAAGTACCAGTAGAAATAGACCGATGTAGCCCATCATGGTAAATCATTTGTTTTGAGACTGGAGCTTTGCACACCACGTGAAGAAGTGATAAAAAATACATTTTTCTTCGGTTAGGTTGGAACAAAGGTCAGTTATGATACGGCAGTTATGTGTAAATCTTGAAAAAATCCCCGGACACACTCGCTGACCACTGCTTGTAACCAAGAAATTCAAATTTAATTCAAGACTGTATTTTTTTATTTTAATTTATAGCAAAAAAGCTATGATTTTAAGAATCTTTCTGTATTTCAAAAATATTGGAGAATATATGGTGACGTCATACATTTTTCGCATTCGTTAAATTAATGATATAAATGTAACCGAATAAGAGATACCTATTTCTCTTAGTAAATTTTAAAAAATAGAATCATATTTTAACTACGAATGTGCAAAGTCGCCTAACAGCTAGCAACACGTTATTATGAATTTTAGATTTAATTATTGAAGAATTAATTAAGACATTGCATTGATAATGACATACAGATATCTCACATTTTATGACATTCACATCTTAAAGGATGTCCGGTTGATTTTCTTGAACAGAAGTGTAAAAAATGTTAAACAAATCGATTATTTTTAAAGGCCGGCTCTTTTTAACATATCAAATTCAGTTGGTAAGGCACTTAGATACTCAGAAAAATAACATATTTGCTTCGCAACTCTTACCAAGTATTGGTGCTCAGTCCAATAAAAATGATAATTTTGTATATTTTTGGTGAATCCATAGACTATTTTACTTTTGTCAAGTTTGTTAATAAAAGTAAAAAAAAAAACATTTGTATCCATCACGTTTCAATTCAGTCAAAGAAAACTCACAAGAAACGAAGCATGTGGGAAATAAGTTGCTCCCCACTAAGTAGGTATAACAAATTCCACAACATAGCTACCCATAATTTTTCGAAGGTATATAGCTATAATCTATAAAAAGAATTTCTTTAAAATAATTCAAAAACTGTTATTTTTTTGCAAAGTTTTTGGTATAAAACCAAATCACATATTGGTATGTAATATTGATAACTTTCAGCACGAAAAATCTCTTCAAATATGTTTTTTAAATAAATAATAAAAATAATCTATATATATAAATGTAAGTTGTGTTAGTTACTACGCTTATAACTTAAGAACCGCTGGATTAATTTTAACGATTCACACAAATTCGGAGTTGTCTACTCTCCGAAAAGGATAATATCCAAAAAAATCGCGTAAAATGTGATATATTAACATTTTCATTTTGACTTTTCAAATGTACAATAGTAATGTTTTATTTTGCATGATTTTTTTCCATTTTGACTTACTTTTTTCTAATGTACATTTGTAGTGTTTTTTTTATATTTTATTTTTGAATTCGAATATTTATACCAATTTATTTAATTGACTTGATTTCTTGAGAACTGAAATTGATGGCGGGTTACATGGAAGTGTAGTAGCGAATTATGTGGTGGCGAAACGGAATAGATGATATCGAAATAATTTAACGCGGTCACACCAAAGTTAAAAGATAATTACTTTTTCTAAATCGCTGAAAAATCATGAAAAGAGATCTCATTGCAAAAATCAAAAAAAAAACATTTTCAATGGAATCGAAATTTAAAGTAATAGTACATTCTATTGACAAACTTTGTAAGGAAGGATCTTAAAACATTTGCTGTAAAAAATCAGCGAAAAAGTTGAAGACTTTTTCAATTTGTTATTCTTTTTTTTTTGTCAATTTTTTTTTTCAATTTGTATTATCATATTGAATTCAGTGGATTTTTTGTGAACAAAATAAAGAATAATTTTTCACTAAAAAAATTAAATAAGTGCGAAATAGGATGTTAACTGACATCTACCATTCAACTCCAGGGCCTACATCGTGGGTTAGCTGAAAGATGCGAACACATTTAAACAAATAAAAATGACCGAAAAAGCTTAATGGGGCTCATTTCAAAGCGTGACAATGATCCGTCCAATGAGAGCTCAAAATGCAAAATTCTTTGGGAGAATAATCAGTAAAATACCACCATTGAAATAAAAGGTGCAAAATAGTAGAGCGAATGGGACTTTTAGTAAGAAAAGGTTTTATATCCTTCCAGAAATTCTTCCCAAACATTCAAAATACCTAAAATCACTTTTGCAGGTCTTTATATCGATCATAACTCATGGATAAGGGAACAACCCGAATTCATATTTATATACCATCTATGATTTAAGTTATTTTTGGGGTCTTGGCCGGCCACTTTTTTCATTTTTTGGCCCTTATTTGACATTTTTGTTTCTAAGGGGGTAGATAACCTCTTCGCATAAAATTTGAAATTTTCAGAGTAGGGCCCATATTGGTATTGACCAAATTCATCAATTGATTTGGCTAAAAAATTTTATTTATGCCACCCTGGGGTAGGGAACCATCATACAGATAATTGCCACATAGGAATTTATTTAAGTAAAGTCCCCACATTGGAGTATCCCCAAGTCCACTTTCACATCTAATGTGTGGTCAGAAAAGAAAATTTTGTATTCTATTGAATTTTTAACCCCCAAGAGAATATTGGTTGGGAACGTAGATTTGGGATGTGCATCCATATGAAATAAATTGTGGAAACATGAAGAAATTACAAATATAAGAAAGTAGCACGGGACCGAATATTTGTTTAATCATCATTGAATTATCCTATGATGAAAATATGGCAACGCGGACCGGGCCAGCTAGTAATAAATAAAAATAAAAATAAACTATTGGTGACTTTAATCTCCTATTCTCTTTTAATTTAAATTAAAGAAATTTCAAACTTCTAAAGCTACTACTTGCAAGGGACTTGGGACAAGTTGGCAACAACAATTTTGTTAGGCCCTACAACAACACTTTTCTGATTGTTTGACTTGTTCACTGTTTGATCGGATGGATGGCTGACTTGGCTGACTGTTGCATGTTTTGCAGAAAGAGAACAACCCACAATTTAGTGGCAAAGAAAAGTAATAGAAAACAAAAAACGCCAGACACCAGTATTCGCTATGGGTGTACCCGTGTGTGTGTGAGCGCGTTTGTGTTTGAGAGTAATTATGTTTGCAGCACCCAAATCCAAACAAGTGCAACCATTTTGTATGACATCCATATTTTTTGCATTCCCCTCCTCTTTTTGTTTTGTTACTCTTCTTCTTGCTGTTGCAGAAAATGGCAAATTGTGTTGGTAGGTTTGTTGTTGTTGTTGCTGTCGCCACTCAGCTCCCAAGTTGAGACAAATAAAAGAAGGCAAGCAAGCGAACAAGCAAAAATTGCATTCAAGTGAGAAAGAAAGGTGGGGCGCTCAACTAACTGCCATGGTCCCTCTCAACAAAGCCATGCCAACATAGCCACATACATACGAACAACAATTAATGCCACAAGTTTTGCTTCTTTCTTCTTCTTTTTGGTATTATCGTTTCTTTTTTTTTTTTTGTGTGTTTTGCTCGCCAAGAGATTCAGGGAGAATCCTCAAGTTAGTTGCTCCATGTTATTCTCCATAGCCGATTGCGTGTACTTTTGTGTTTCCGCAAATCCATAAGCGTTTAAAATCGTATTGAGCCTCTGTCTGCCATGCAGTAGGTAGGTATAGCTGGAGATACCTACCGACATGAATTTTTCAACTGGCATCAACCAGCCAAAAGTATTTAAATTCCACTTAAATGAGCGCGACGTTATTTAGGCAAGCTGGCTAACGGTGGTATTCCAAAAGAAAACTAAACAGAGCAGCCATACACGAACAAACGATGCAGATTAATGGGAAAAATTCGAAAAATTGCTGAGGCAAACCAACAGCCAAACGCAGGCCAGCAACAGCAACAACATCCACCACGAATATTTGCGGGTAATTGGAAGGTGGGGCAATTTGTTGGAGAAACTTGAATAATGAGCGCATGCTCCGACGATTGGTCCACAAAGACGCCATTTACAAGAAACGAAGCAAAGCAAAAAAAAAAAACGAAAACACAAATAAAAACCTCTCTGACAAATGTCTTGTTCTCTGCTTGGCTGAGCATAAGTATGTGGGGAGAATTCTTGTTGCTCTGACTCTCTGTGACAAGTGCATGAAGAAAAAATACCAATTGAATACATTGAAGAGAAAGAGATGGCTACAGAGAGAAAAGAGATGCATTTATATGTTTTACATTTTCGAACAACTGCTAATGACCCAACTTCCCCTGTTTACATTCGAACAACAAGTAAAGCAAATCTTCTCTATGGTAACATTTGCAAGAGAGCAACAAGGAGAGAGATAGAAATTTTCGAAAAAAGGTGTTAACCCACCGCCAATAAGAAGAAAAGCAATATGATTGTGGGTTGTATCTCTCCCTTTCTCTCTTAGGGCTTTGTGATGCGTTTGCCTTTCCGTTTCAGTAAGGTAGAGAAGACCAGCAAAATGTACGCCGAAACCAACAACAACTCGCACGGCCCAACAAACACCACCAATGTGTGGATACACACCGCGTACAATGTAACTTGCCAGTCCGGTTTAGTTGTACGTGAGACTTTGCTGCGCGCTAACGTTGCTCTGTGCTGGGCTGCAGACCGCTAAAAAAATTCGTCTTATGAACTACAGACACACACAAACACATTCGCATAACTTTGAATACCCATATCGATCGATCCTGCTGTAGTTGTGAATACCGCAAAAGAAATTCCGTGAACGCGCGTTTCATCGACATCACCACCTCTACATAGGTACATTCTCATGTGGATTAAAGAAAGAAATCGCAAAAGAAAAATAAATAACCCAACGACCAAAATAAATTTTCAAATTTATCATTTTCAGTTTTTATTTTAATTTTTCAAACACAAGAAAAAAAAACGCGACGACGTTAGCCAGGTATGCGAAATTTGGCAAACAAAAGTGACAGATGTGTCTGTGGAAGAAAATCGTTGAAAAATTAATGCAATCCGCAACTTGACAAAGCAAGAAAAATAAAAATTAATTAAAAATAAACAACAGCATCAACAAAAAGTTGGAAACAGCAAACACAAAACGAAAAGCCCCCCTTTATTTCTCCCCCTCTCAAAACCATTGTCGTCAGTGCCTTAAAACAAACAAAAATCTTGTAAAGGATAACAAAACAAACAACCCAAAAGCAAATAAAAATACTTAGCTCAAACCCAAATGAATTGAAACCAAAACAAAAAAATAATCATAAAAATCGTAAAAACGGAAATTTCCATTGAAACTTTTCGGTTTTGTTTTTCTGTGAATCTTGGAAGAAAAAGTGAAATATTTGCGAAAGCCTCGAAGAAAATTCCCAAATTTTCATTTGTCAACAAACGCTTGTCTTAAACATAATATATGGTAATGGCAGAGATTGGTGGCCATTTGGCTCACCAGCTTCCCCTGCACAATCACAATCAAACTGGATTACAACCATCGTTGGTGATGAATCATCACCTGGATTTGGATTGTCATGGACATGATGTGATAAGTAAGTATTATAACAAAGAATTAAGTTTTGCTAGGAAAAATTGATTATCAATATTCAATACTTTAATGTGGCTGAAGGGTCTGATTTGCCGTCGGCAATTTTTGCAGTGCCTGAATATCGTATAGCAAATATTGCAAAACTGGTAGTTCTGTTACGAAATCATTACTCTCTCGTTGGAAGTAATATAAAGTAGAGCCAATGGGGAAATGCTATCAATTTTTTAACTCTGATAAACACTGAAAATTTTCTTAATGGAAACAGAGTTGGCGGACGATTGGGTAGAGAATAGAGGTTGTTGATATCCACTTCCTCAAAAAAAAAATTAATAATAATTTCAGGAAAATTTAAACTACGTGGGTAGTTTCAACAAAGATTTTTAAATGAAAAATGTAAAGAAATTGTCAAATTAAAAAAATTTTATGAGGAAAATGTTTTTCATTTTTTTCCTCTATGAAATCGGTGTAAATAAACAAACGTGAAGATCGTAGCCCTCTTAAGAGTATTTCACATTCTTCTAGATTCTAAATTTCGTTCTGATTCCTTATTATATATTTTATTGACCTTCCCCCTTATTCCATTCTATATACATTTCGAGTATAGAGTGGAATAAGTCGAAATATTATTTCGCTGCATAACATGAGGGCGCTTCTAGTCGTGGTACCCAAGCCAGCCCCTCAATTTACTTGTGACATGACTATTCTTGTGACATGACAAATCATAAGGGCGCTCCTTTTCATTGGACCCAAACTAGTCCCTCAATTCACTTGTGGTGTGACATTATTTCAATTCGTTGGGAGCCATTCTTTCAAAACAAAATATTATTTTACGGCATACCTGTCACAGGCCAGTGAAACCTAGTCATACGGATGATCCTAGCAATAGCACCCAAACAGGTCCCACAGTCTACTTATGCCATGACCCTAGCCTAGTTCATTGGGCACCATTCTGGCAAATCGAAACTTCCTCTACCTATCGCTAAATCATGAAAGTACTTTCTGATCTTGGGAATCTGTCCATTAGGATGGTAATAGCGATCCCTCAGATCTCTCATTCCTCTTGTGTCATAACCCAAGTCCAGTTCTTTGGGGGCCATTCTGACATACTCGTGATTAAATCATGAATATACTTTCTGTTCTCAATCAAAGCTCCCAAACACATGTGTCGTGACCCTAGTCTAGTTCGTTGGTCGAAATATTATTTTACGAAATATTTTGGCTCTTTATGACCACATAAATATCCAAAGGACTCAAAGAAGTTCCTCATTCCATTCATTTTATAACAGTAATCTAGTTTGTTGGGCGCCATGCTGTCAAATCAAAACATTTTTTCACGGCATACCTATGACTTGATTCACGACTTGTCAAATTTTGGGATTCTCCTAGCGAAAGCAGTCCAGCAGGTCTCAATATTCCCTTATGTCACGAATTTCTTCCAATTCAATGGCGCCATTCTTGCCACTAACAAGCATTTTGCTTTTTGAAAGATCAACAAGGTTTCCTTATCACATTGGACCAAAAGTTTAGCTACAACTTAAAATATAGCTACATTGCCTTGAACCTATCAGCGTCCCAAGTGCAGCTGGTCACTGCCTAGAGGACCCTGTTCCTACTTCTGATCTGATGATTTAACTTAACTCTCAACATTTTGGGGTCGGAATCTGGCAGTATCTGTCAATTTGTCATAATAAAAGTCATGTACTGAAAGTGGCTCTGGAGTTTGTGGCGAATTATTTTTTCCTATTTATAAGGAGGAAGAAGAATCAGCTGTGTAGCTCTTCAAACCTTAAGAAATATATGACTTCCATACTTGGCTCTCTTGTGATTTAAAAATGTAAAAAATAAAGATTAAATAGTTTTGTGAAACTCTGTGTTTTACTCTACAAATCTATGATTTCTTGTTTTGGAATATCACATGCGCAGGTGGCTCTCTGGGACCGGCTCCCTCCGGAATACTTTCGTATCTGACTTTTTTATATTTTTTTTATTCAGCACATGGGAAAGTTAAGAAATGTTTCTTAAACATTGAGAAGGACCTAGGACTGCTCCTTTGAACCGCGCTAGATCATCAAGCAGTCTTTTAAGTTATTGATGCATTTTCTTTTACTGAATATTTCCTTTTACATTTCCGTGATGCAATTTGTCGAACATGAAAATCTCACAGACCTGCCTTCATTCCAATATTCACCTACAAATGTACATATTTATGGCTTCTCTGTCATTTCGCTGACTTCTGCCAGAGATTTCATATTGAAATTTTTAATTTGACTTCCTATATGTGAAAATATGCATAAAATTAAATACACACACAAACCTGCTGAACACATATACATACATCTTTTTACAATTTTAAAATATTTCGGTTATAAATATTTTGGCATATAACAAAACGTCTAGAAAATATTTCAATTTATTTCTATGGATCGTTTGTTGTAGTTTTCATTTGAATAATGAAGTGAATTTATGAATATTCAATTTCAAAACAAACAAACAAAAAAGTGTTTGAACAATGAACATCTGGAGACAAGGAAACAATACTGGACTGGGAGTGCATTTGGTACAAGTGATTCCCACTATTCCTTGGACACAAATTTTCCATTGGCAATAAATTCTCAAAAAAAAACAAATTGTCATATAAATTTAATGGGTTATTTTTAATTCAACCTCCTTCTCCATACCCTTCAACTGCATTACTTCTTGGATTTCGAAAGAAATCGTAAATTCGCAAATTGTGGCTAAATAAAATTTTGCGAAGTCATATCATGATTTGCTTGGTTACCTTGCTCCATCCATCCATGCAACGACCAACCGATCGCCACAGATTAACCTGATTGTAAATATAAAAATAAATAAACATAAATAATAATAAAAAAATATTTACCGGTTAATTTTCGTAGTTAATTGCAGCAAATGTTTTAAATGTTCAATGATAAATTCGTTTATTTTACATCTAACGTGTGTGCGTGTGTGTGTTCGTCCATATGTGCGTGTGTGCGAGTGAGTGAGTGAGTTTGTCCACAATGATGATCGCACAATCTTGATGATCATTTAAATTACTCTTGATTTGGTGACATTAAAAAATTGATACCCGACCACGGGTTGTCGTCGGCGGTAATCATTTGGAAAGTGTGCTGCTGTTGTTCTGTTTTTGGCCAGACATTGTTGCTCGGTTTTGTTGGCAAAATTTGTTGGTTTTTTTCATTGCGTCAAAAGTTGAATGACATTTTTATGCGAGTCGAGCCAAACTAATTAGTTAATAATTACAAAATAAAAACAAAATGCAAAACAACAACAACAATAATTAGAAATGCTAAAGATCACCTCTGACGTACATCGTTTAATAACATGAATAAATAATGAGTTTTGCGTTTGATTCATGCCTTGAAATGAAATATTCTTTTTTTGGTTGCTGGAACCAGTTGCAAAAAGAAAGAAGAAACAAAAGATTTGCTAATTTTGCTGTCAAATTTGTTAAAAAAAACTTTAATTTTGGTGTCATTATGCAAATAATCAGTTTAAAAATAGTTATTGAAATTCGACTCTGATGCAATTTTGGTAAGAGAAACCGAATAAGAAAAATTGTGTTTTTTATATTTTCTTCACACGAAGAGAACTTAAAAATTGAAAATTTGTGGCCTAGAATACGAGTCGCCAAAAGAAGGAATGAACACAGCAAAAAACTTCCATTCTAAAAATACAAAATATGGCACAAAGTGGGTAGCCAGGGAGGGCCTGGGCTCCCACCCTGAACACCAATCTGACCAGAAGTGTATAAAAAAATTTGCCAAAATTTGTCTATAATTACTAATTGAGTTTCTTCTCAAAAATGCCGTAAAATCTTCTAAATATTCCGAGCATCTAAATGCTATATGCAATAAAATTGCAAAAGTTATATGTAGAAAATATCGCTTTACATATGACATTAATGTAATGTGCAATCAAATTTTCAAAATACTTAATTTGAAAATGTTTGGAAAAAAAAATAAAAATTAAACCTCCAAGTCGTTTAATTTTCAAAATGTACAAACCAATATCAAGTTTGAATATCTCTTCAAAAATGCTTATAAATCTATAGTTATCTGGAGGCTCTTTTTTGAATGAATGAAACTTTAATAGTCATATGTAAGATTTTTGAAGGAAAAAGCTCGAACCAAACTCAGAAAATTGAATTTAAAAAGATCCCAGTCTTCCGGAAAACCATCTCTCAAAATATTTTTTTTTTCTCTGAAAATAAAAAAAATAAACAAATATCTTCCTATTCAACCTCAACTTAATTAAAACTGGTTTTACACAAACAAAAAATTCGTGCAACTTAAAACTACATTTTTTTCAACAAATATTTTAAAAATTCAATTGGTCTAAAAATCTCTTAAATGTCCTGCCTTTTTAATAATTTTTATAACACAAATAACTATGGATTTGGAAGTACTCTAGATACAAACTATGTCGGTACTCAAAAATCTAAAAATTTCATCGAACTCTTGCAAGATGACCGAACCTCACTTTTTAGAGGTAGATATTTTGTCTTCCTCGAAAAATAATAGTCTGATCAGTTTAGCTGCATTAACTGAAAAAAAATTTAAACAGCTCTTTTAGCTGTTTTTAGCCGACTTCAGACCTAAAATAATATTAAACAACAATGTTTAAAAGTCTTATTTTAATTTTTCACAGAAATTGCCACACGTCTACTTCAAACCTCTTACAAAACGTATTGAAAATCAACTAACCTAGCTATAATAATGAACCGAAAAAATTATCACAACATGGTTCTAAAGTTATTTTGACCTGATGGAGTAATGGTAGAATTAAGAAGACAACCTCGTGCCATCTTTACAATATACTCGTAATATTACAATATATTCATAATCCATTAGATATACCCAAAAATCTATAGTTAGTTAAATTTGAAAATTGACAACTAAATATATTTTCTAAAAAAAGGCTACACATGTCTCTTAAAAGCCTATTTTTTCATGGAATTTGTTTAAACACTTAATATCTCCC